TGGGGGTATATTTGGCCCTATATGTCACCAGTCTTGTGATAAAAAAGTATTAGTTAAAGCTGATTACCAGAAGGTTCATGACAGAAGCATTGCTGGTGACATAATCCAGTGCAAGTCAAAGGTCACAACCCAGCATCCCATGAGGATGAAGGTAGTGTAAAGGTTCATGGAGAAGATTCCAATCATGTAGTTTACACAGGCTAAGCTGAGCAGGTAGCCTTTGTTAACCATCTTGAGCTGACTGTCGACTTCGAAGTAGATCATGACCAAGATGTTGCCCATAATGGTGATCAGGCTGACCACAGTGGTCACAGCTGGAATGGAAATGACTTTTCACAGCCCATAGTGTTCCATAAGGCTGGCGATTCACTGGGGTGTAACTGACTGTGCTTGCATCGTGGCAAGATTCCCCTTCCGTCCTAGTGCAAGAACTTACATCAGGGTGGATCTGGAGTTCTGAGCTGTTGTTCTGCTCTATCTCACCTCTTCTTGGCCAGTGTCTACTTCCCCACTTCTATCCTGGAATTTTGTCTGGCTTACATGGCACTTGTGCATGTTCTCACCATTGCTGTGAGTTCATGAGTAACTCATCAGCTATCTGGAAAACTGTTTCCGGTGGTTATTCACAGCCCCTTTCACTCTTTCCACCACTGCAATGATCCTTGAGCTTTGGGCGGCACAAGTTTGATAGAGGAGTCGTACTCAGGAATAAGCAGTCTGCAGCCTCTCATGCTCTGCACATTGCCCAATCATGGGTTTCTGTGTTAATCACCACCTGCTGCATAAGGAAGCTTCTTTACTGAGAACTGAGCAACGCATTAATCTGTGAGTATAACAATAAGTCATTAGGAGTAGCTTTAATAATGGTAAAGGCTTGAGGTCTGTCGCCAAAAGAAAAGAGTCATAACTACAGCAACCGCTGCCATATAAAGTGATTCTTCTCCATTACCAAGACCACCTGATGCCTCTAGAGTTGGCCAGTGAAGCAGAGAGATGGGCAGAGTCATTCATTCTAAGTACACGTGGGTCTTCATGAACGATTTTGGGAACTGATCTGTGGAGAACAGCAGGGACCCAATGAAAACTTTCCCCTGTGGAATCCTGTCACAGAGTTTTGGCAGGATGTGTGTTTCTGAATTGTCTTGTGCCAGTGAGAACTAGGAGAATACAAGCTGTGTCACCTATGAAGAAGAGTGAAATTCAACTGGCTCTTCATCATTTCTTTGACCAGTATTTATCACTCAGCTATTATGTGATTTGTACACTGATACATGTTCCTGTCCTTAAACTAAGTGACACTCTTGCTGTTCCCTTTTATAACCATGATAATTCCTGTCATGAATTGAGAGTGACAGAGCAGGACACCTGATATCCTCCTCTGGTCTTTGGGTGTCACATGCACACACATGAGCATTCCTCCTCTGATGAAACCATGTTCATATCCAAATATCATCATTCCTCAGAATCCTGAATCAATGATACCGAAACGAGTCACACCTAGTTCCTGAAGGAGCTTCTGTTATGTTACTAAGTGATCAAGTTACACACACAGTTGTTTTCATTTTTGACTCTTGAGAGTATTTTAATTTTGTTTAAACAAATACAGTGTACCATAGTTAGTGTCCACTTGGAGTCATTTATTAAATATTCTCTGTTCTTGGGAGGAAATAAAGAGAAATGGGTAGAAGAAAAATAATAGAGTTTTTATATTCAAACTAAACTTTTTATCAACCTAAATCAGACTGTTAAGAAACTAAAAGATGTTACAGGCAAGCCTCATGGTAACTGCAAAACCCAAACAAAACAAAAAGACAAAGGAATACAAGTACAGCACTTCAGGAAAAAATAAAAATAAAAAATGACAAAGCACAGAAGAAAATAACAAAAGAGAAATACAGGAACAAGGGATTTGTAAAATGGCCCAAAACAGAATACAAGTCCTTTAAACAAGTATTTGGCTGTAAGTGGATCAAATACTTCAATGACATAGAAAGGGTCAATGTATCAATCAAGATTTATATTCTGCCTACAAGAGACTCTAATAGTTCTAACATTCAGAGTGAAGGGAGAGACGTAGATACAATCTGACTGAGAAAATGGTTCAGTGGGTAAGAGTGCATGCTGCATAAGCATGAGGGGCCAAGTTCAAATATCCAGAAAATCCAGGTGAGGATGCACACCCACCTGTAACTCCACTGCTGGGGATAGGGGTGGACAAATGGGGGTTGCCAGTTATCAGCCTAGATCCAGCTTCAGAGAGAGCTTGTCTCAAGGGAATGAGGAAGAGAGTGACAGAGCGGGACGCCTGATGTCCTCCTCTGGTCTTTGGGTGTCACATGCACATACATAAGCACCCCTCCCCTCTTCACACACACTTATACACACACAGTTTTTTAAAGATATATCATGCAAGTAGAAATCAGAAAAAAAACAGAACTGGCTAGACTTTTATCCTGGAGACTTTGAGCCCAAGCAGCCACAAGAAATCATTTCATTATCTAATGGTAAGGGGGCACACTTATCAAGAGACTATTACACAGCCAGGCATGGTGGCTAGCCTTGCAATCCAGGTACTAGGTAGGCCAAGGCAGGATTGGGAATTCGAGGGCAGCCTAGGCTGTATAGTGAGACTCCATTTTAAAAGGCATACTAAGAAAACACAACAATTGCTAATACATACACACCCACACTGCAGCACTTAAATGCATTAGAGAAACGATTATTCAATTTGATAAGAACAGGCATTCAGAAATAACAGCAGCTTTTGCTACCTGACTTTCAACAGTAGACAGATCACCCCATAGCAAATCACTAAGAAACTGGGACTTTTACACCAAGTGGACCTAAGATCACTAGGAAATTCCATCCAGAAGGAGAGGAGACATTACTCCAAAGCTCATGACACACTCTCCTGGACTGAGAATTCATTAAGCAACAAGATAAATATTAGTAATTTTAAGAAGATTTAAATCATAACGAGAATATTTTCTGGCTGAGATTATCTAAAGCTAGAAATAGAGGAATCCAAAAAGCTCACAATATGTAAAAATTAAACACTACTCCCCAACAATATATCAAAAGACACTCAGGAAAATGAAAAATATATGAGACTATGAAGTAAAGTTCCCAGAAAAGTGTCTGGGGGGATGGCTCAGCAGCAAGAGCACTTATCTTCCAAGCACGTGGTCCTGAATTCAAATCCCTAGCACCCATGTAAAATCCCGGGCATGGCCCCCAAACAGTGACCTTCCAGTTCAGTGAGCACCTGTCTCAAGGCAACAAGAAGACAAGCACGAGAGGAAGATGCCCAGTGTCCAGCTCTGGCTCCTCCTGTATGAGCACCTGTTCAACTACATGTACTACATCAGTCTCTCTGTCTCTCTCTGTCTCTCTCTCTGTCTCTGTCTCTGTCTCTCTCTGTCTCTTCTCTCTCTCTGTCTCTGTCTCTCTGTCTCTCTCTCTCTCTCTCTCTCTCTCTCTCTCTCTCTCTCTCTCTCTCTCCCAAAATTTAAAAATAAGTTCCCAGAGAAAAGCTGTTGTCTTCAACATTCAAGCATTCAAGGTTGATTGTGGGTTCAGTGATTATAGGAAAGTTAGATTTTTATAGGATCAGAGTTAAGTTATTGTGGGCTTAAATAACTTCAAATAGAGCTCAAAGTTAGTAGAAGGAAAGAAATAAAAATATCAGAGTAGAAGTAAATGATATGGAGGCTAAACAATACAATTGTCAACAAAACTAAGAATTGGTTTTAGGAAAATTGACAAAACTAGATTAGTAGATTAGTAGGAAGGAAAGAAACCCCAAATATCAACAAAGAAAGGAGACATTACAACTGATCACACACATGGTTTTCTGTTTTCATCCATGACTAAACATCAGTGACTAGAATTATCACCCTAAACCACTTAAATACTGGAAAATACACAGAGCAGTACTGTTAGATCTTGAGGAGGGTAAGTACAGGACAGAAGGAAAGCAGAAACTGGCCCCAACTCCCACCTTACTGACTGAAACATTCAGGCCACAGGATGTCAAGGAGGATCCAGACAGTTCAGTGAGTTCAGCAGACAAAGCTCAGGGCTTGGCAAAGCCAAGGGAACTGCTGAATTACCAAGACGTAGTATTCCAGGATAATATGGAAGGTGGGAGAGAGAGCAATCCCTAGACTGTACCGTGCTCTTCTTGCCGCAGAGACCTACATTTTATACTCTGAAGATCTAGGCGTATTTCTACCCTGACCCTTTCAGAAACATCTGTAGCATTTGGAGCACTGTTGAACATTCACCTATGCTTAGTTTAAACCTGACAACACTGGCCTTTAAAGCTAATGTTGAAAGGGGACAAAATGGCCTGCACCTTCTACACTGAATCCTACTTGCCACTTAACTGGAAACTCATTGTGTGCATCACACTGTGGATTCAGATGTTCTCCAAATTTCTTCTTCCTGTTGCATGTAGCCAGAAATTTATCATACAACTCTGTCTTCTCTTTATGTTCATGAACTGACAAGTACTCAGCAGCCATCAAGGCACTGGTAAATATTTTACACAACAATTCCTATTGTATACACATACAATTTAGAAGGCAAGGGCCGGAGGACCAGGAGTTCAAGATGATCCTTTCCAAAAGAGCAACTTGGAAGCCAGCATGCAATAAATGAGAACCTACCTCAAGCACATCCACCCTAAATAAATAATAAATCTACAGACATCTCCATTGATCACTGAGCCACCTTGAAAGTGAACTGACATTTCAGTAGCATGTTGTAATCACAACTGAAAACCCTGACTCCAAGCACTAGCAAAGAGCTCAAAAACCAGGTGTAGTTTTGGTAGATGATGCATCCGTAATCAGGAACTCCAATATCTGCTTGCAGCTAGCATGACTGCATGGCTCTGAACTCCAAGCTCTCTGGTAATTGGTATTTTTAAGTTACAGCAATGCCAGCACTCAGTGTACACTATTTTCTTAATGATGTCTAAATGAATGGCCACCTACCTGGCTCAGTTTCAGAAACATTTGTAGATTCTTCATTTGAGTGGGATTTTATGACTCCTGAAACAGACAAGTACCTGTCATCAGACACTTCAGATAGCAATTATGCACACTAATTGAGTTCATAAGCTATATTTTTACCTCAGTGTTTCACTCAAGGGAAAGAAAAAAGTAAGTTTCCAATCACTAGATCCTTCCAAATGGACTGTGGTATCTGAAAGAATGTGTTTAACATCTGATTATGAACTCATCATTTTCCCACGAATATTTTGCTCTTTCTTGTGGCGCCATGATCAAACCCAGTTTTCTTGTGCGCTAGGCAAGTGCTCAACAGCTGCATCACATCCCCTTTTCTTCTACTCATTTTTATCCTTGAAAGTAACCTCTGTATCCAATCACCTTTTCTTTCAAGTCCAGTCACCAGGATTTGCCAGTTATAGCAAGTAAATAGTTGTCCAACCTGTCCAGTTTGCTTTCTTTGTTAGTGATGTGAAGTGCATTTACCACACATGGAAAGCACAGGGCCATCTAATCATACAAGATCCTTAACAAGTCCGTTACATATGAAGTATGCCCAAAGGCTTTAGTAAAGCATGCGGTTCCATAAACAGGACTCTTAATGCATCACTCTAACCACTTCATATTCCTACATTATCCAGTTGCAATTCTCTCTTTAGTGCTGTTTTTCCACGTTATCATCTCAAATGCTCAGTGTTCCTCCTTCTGTCAACTAAATCCTATTCCTGTTTTAAGTTTGCAAAAATGTTCTTAACTTCCTCAAGATGAGCTCATTATTCCTTTCTCTGGAGTTTTACTGCAATGTTTATATACTTTACTATGCATTACACCATGTGAAATGGTTCATAGGCTGGGCGTGAGTGTGCAGACCTTTAATCCCAGCACTTAGGAAGCAGAGGCAGGTGGATCTCCGTGAGACTGAGGCCAGCCTGGTCTACATAGTGAGTTCAAGGACGGCTGGGGTTAAGGGAGACCTTGTCTCAACCAAACGACACCAAACAAATCAACAAGAAACTGACTCACGAAGTGTCCCTGAAAATTTGAATTTCATGGAGGCAACAATCAAATCACGAGAGCATTCATCTTGTATGTTTCCAGAATCCAAACATGATAAAACTTGTGTTGAAATATCAAACCCTCTACTGAATCATGTTTTAAGTTTAGCGCTGTATAATTTTATAATATAAAAATTTAAACTTTAGTCTTAAAGTGCTAATATATTTAGGAGCCTATATAAAGGGCAAACATCTATAAAATATTACCTTCAATTTGCTTCTCTACAGCTTCGCAGCTTTTTATAACTGGGGATGGAGCTTCTCTATCACTGTTAAAAGTTCCAATAAATAAAACATTTTCAAATCCCAGGAAATAAGAATTTAAGCTCCATGCTCTAAGAACTAGAATTTACAGACTATCATATGAAGTTTGTGAAATTAAAGTTAACATAACTTTCAGTCACAGTTACTAAGGAAATGATTAGTAAAAACATTCTAACATATACAAATACCAAATTCTATAACACTATGAACTGTGTATTCCAGGAATATATTTATGTATACTCATAACACTAGAGCAAAAATAACAAAGGAAATTCAAAGGAAACATGTCATCTCCTTTTGCTCATCTACTATCAATGGCGTAATGGCTAAGCGCACAGTCAGAGAGTGAGAGTGCCTGGTCCAAACCGTTCCAACCAGCGACCAGGTATGTGAGCTGGAGTGAGTTGCTGTCAATCTCAGTGTTCTAGTTCCTTTAGCTATTAAAACTTACATGTAATAATGCCTTTATCATAAAGTAGTTATGAGGCCCTCAGGAGATAAAATGGTAAATACAAATATTAATGTATGGTGAAAAATCTTACTGCACAGTAATAAACAGTCCAAGTAAGGAACCTAAGTCCCCTCATGGCACCGGCTCCATGCCATCCCTTCATTCCTCTAAGTCTAGTAAGTGACACATAGAAATCCTTGTAGTGATTGCATACTCAATATTATCTATCCCCTTCCAGTTACAGGTTAATTTTTTCTTTAGCAATATAAAAGTGCTTTTATATACACTTAATAAGAACAAAGGTTGTTTGTAAATAAAGTTTTAGGTTTGTTTTACTATTTTTTTATATTTTATTCACATTTATTTTTCATTTTTAGTGTGCTCACAGAAAATTAGAACACCTTAAGCAGGAGTTTAATGCCATGTTTTGTAAGCAAAGTTACATTCCATTTCTAAGTCAAATTGGTCAAAGTTTCTCTGGTAGTCACAAAACACGACAGACCAGATGCTGCACAAAACCACCGCATCTCAAGATTCTTTTTTTCCTTATTCACAAAGACAACTGGAAAAGGAAAGCTTTGTCATCTATAATAATAAAAAAATCCCACAGTATAAACAGTAATCAACTCATTAATCACAGGGTGGTTGAGTTTAATATTTGTCTTTAACACTTGGGAGGTAGAGACAGGCAGATCTCCGTGAGCTTTAGGCCAACCTGCTCTCAATAGTGAATCCAGGCCAGCTGTGGCTACAGGGAGACCCTATCTCAAAAGGACCCCAAATATATACATACACACATACATACATACATACATACATACATACATAAATAGATAAATAATAAATAACAAAATTTGTGTTTAAAAGATCCAACATGATGGCAGTTTTACAAAAATGGGCAGGGTGGAAAGTTGCAAACTTCATGACCTTCTGAAGGCTATCAAGATTTGTTTTTATACAACAATCACAGTAAAAAACATCGTGCTGGTAGTATATAATTGCATTTCATTAAGGTCATAAACCAACAATCAAAAATAAAGCCTACACAGTTTGTAGCTTTATTTAGTCACTGACTGCTACAGCTAACTTGAGATAAGTGAAAAGTTCCTATGATTTAAATGAGCATCTAAGACTAATTTTTTCCCCTCCTTCTTTTGTAGTTAAAACTTGTAGTATTGTAAACCTGCCTCACCAAATACACAACACATAAGAAATGTTATTACTTTTCTTAAACAAAACAAAAAAAAAACAAAAAACAAAAAACAAATGTCAGGTGTGGTGGCCACACCTCTAATCACAGCACTTGGAGACTGAGGCAAGCAAATCTCTGTGAGACTGGTCTACATAGTGAGCTCCAGGCCAGCTGGGATTACAGGAGGGAGACAAGAAGAACAACACAACCAAATCTAAGCCTTTACACCATCATTGCTAGTGGCACGTTAACGGAAACGTCACGCACCACTTCAGTTCCCACTGTGGCCCCATCGCTTCATTTGAATCCCTTTTAAACACACCCTTCTCCTTCATATATGGGAATGTCCTTGGACTGACGATGGAAAGTATGCAAACCATTAGCAGTGATGCAAAAAAATTATTCTTAAAAAAGAAAAAAGAATAGTCAGATACATACAGATTAGAGACACATGTGCCAACATCACGGTGTTATTAGCAAAAACAATGTGTCTTTCTGTAAGAAACAGTATTTTAAAATGAAATGGAAATGAAGATCTTTTTTAAAGGTTAAAA